TTTCTAGTTATTTCTTATGGAACATAGAATTTTAAATTCTATGAAATAATAACATTTTTTAAACCAATTTTCCTAATTTTTTTTTATAATCTAGAAGTCAGAAATCTGAGTAAAACTAMAAGGCTTACAGCCTAGGACTTTTTATAATATTACGACTTTTGAGATATTTCAGTAAACTTGCATAAAGACAAAACTGTGGTGTGGATGCTTGTTTTACAAAACAAAAAAAACATTAAGTCAAGAAAACCCGTTGGTAAGAGAGATCTGTAAATCGAGAGATTTTGATTTTTGAGTGATAGACAAATCATCCCACACATAATATTATGCAAACATAACGTATTAAACAAAATTACAACATAGATTTACAGCTTACTCGTGGCCACGATTCACAAACAAGCGTGCTAATCGTATAAATGTCCGATTTTCGCACAGCCAATATACCTATAAAATTATACTACACTGGAGTTTCAGGGCCGTGCATWAGATTATACGAGTTTAATGATGTCACCAAGTTATATTATAATATATAGTTATATTATATACACGGTGTTTTACCACGACTCCTGACATCAATTTATAAGAAATTAATTATTATAAGTTAATAATACATTATAATTTGTACAAATTTATATATTTAGACTAATTTAAATGGATGTATTGACCGCGAATCACAACGTACTCGTATATATTCTGGGATGATGTTTTCCATATTTGTACACGCCTAACGTTGCGCTCTCCAGACCGAAACCAAACGTTTGTCTATATTACTAATGTTGTTTTATTATTATTATTATTTATTATATGTAGTATTATATATATATGTATATAATATGTTAGAAATAGTAAAATTATTAAAATTATATTATGTTATTTTATTTCYATGGTATTTTTCCAGGCATATTTGGCAAAATTAGAATATGCCTCATAAAAGTTCTAATCCCAATTAAATGATTTTTATCCACCCGTTTTTCGAGATAGATTATATTCAACAGTTAACACCGTTCTAAAATGATTCAGTGCCGTTCGCATACTATAGWGTATAATATATAAATAGGTATGTTTATGTGATTTGAATCCAATACACTTTCTAAATCCCTTCCAAATGYACATATTTATTATAATATTGCGTGCGGTGTAGTTTAACATTCACCCACATGACAATGTTCGGGTTGACCAAACATATAAACAGGACGTAAAAAAAAAACGCGAGTTTTCGACTTGTCACCTTGCCAAGTCAGACTTTTACTAAAAGTATATAATATAAATATTTTTATTATCATTACCAACGTCGCCGAGGTTAATATGGTGATTTATTTTTGATCTATGTGGTCTACGAGTTCTTTGGAGCTGTGTACGTCCAAAATCTCACATGATAAAACATGCGAGAATACAATTATACAGTTTGGAAAATCGTCAATGTACTGAAGACTAAAACTAATTAAGTTCGAGTAACCGTAACAAGTTAATCTGTATCATAGTTAAGTATAATAATATATCTACTATAATAATGTGTAATAGTCGATCGCGGCAATTGATCGGGACGTAAGGGTGACAACCGATAAAGTATAATAATCGTGAACAGATCGATTGCTCAAAATAAGCAATTGCAATTGCTAACATTTCCTGGCATAGGTACATAATACATAGTTAACGCGTAAGTAAACGTAAGTGCAAAAATCAGAGTACTGATTGTATGCGTATCTGCTTCATGTTATAAGCTCATCGATACCAAGACTATATTAAATTAAAGACTCACCACGTGTATTTGCAGGTATAATATAATACCTACAGCGTGCTGTATCGATGTTGTGCGTACACGTCCGGACCGAATGTCGAAAACACTTCAGTACTTTACAATAAGCGTCCGGATGTTGGGTTCACGAAACGCACACAAAGAACGTTATCGATTCGAACTATCGTTAAAAACAAAAACCGAAACTAATGCGATTAGTACATTAATATTACGTTATAATTTATATCGAAAACAAAAACGGATCGTTGTAGTTCTCTGCACGACAATAAAGTTACGATACTTCGACGGAAATATGTGATGTCGATAGTTTTTAATATATAGCTTCACAGGTTCATGAATATATTACTTGCGTGTAYGCGAGCGTGTGTATAAGGACGAATTAACGATGTGCGGTGCTGTTGATGACTGACCGGCTAGTGTTGCGACGGAAACCGACGAGACTGCTGAGACGACCGGTCGGCTGGCTAGGCGCCCTCCTCTAATAAGGAGACCGGTCCGCGTACCCATACAAGTATAATATCCTACGTACATTCATGTTTAATGCATAATATTATATATTAAACGTAATAATAAAAATTATTGCATTACGCAAAATTATCTCTCATACGGCAACGATTTATTTGATAATGCGAAACGGGCGACAAGAGTTTTCGTTATTGATGTTTAGTTTTTCTATAGTTTTTTTCTCTTCGAATAATAACTTGTATTATAATGCAGAATCGTGTTATATAAATTTTGGCAATTTGCAAGCTAGACCTTTCACATTTAATTTTAGTATGCTAAAGTATGCTCCGGTTGGTAGGGGTTATTTTTCTAAATCTTGTTGAGTGATTAATTTTTAATTCAGTACAATCAGAATTTTTTGGTTTTGCGTAATGCATATATAGGTAGCTGGTGCGAACCGATTTATCACCATTAATGTGATTATAATTATTATTAATACACCTATAGTGCTTATTATAATCTATTTTATAATATATGTACAATTATAATGAAGTGGTGATTGATATTAATTGTATACTGAMAACAAAAATCTTTGTAGAGGTATTCAAGTATTTTGCGTAATCGTAAATGTGACTCTTTTTCATTTTTTTTCCTGTGACTCTTCGGCTATCTTGTGCAATTAAAACTTTTATTCCATAGTTTTTCCCTCTGATAGGTACTCTTGTCATTGAAGTAACTATCTACTTATATATACTACCTACTTACATACAGACACATATAATAAAACTAAATTTTAACAATCCATACTCATTATGTATGATAAAATAAAAAAATTAACCAAACCCAAAACTTAATATTTAATAGTTGCAGGAAATTTCAAATGAAACAAAAAAGTTTTTATTTTAGCTTAATAATAATTTTATTCGTTGGCAGATAAAAATCAAGTATGGGGGTATAGTGGCCGGGTGGATAAGTCGTCGGTTTCGACGCGCACCGTCGAATCCTGGTCATGGGCGGATTAATGGATAAGTTTTAAAATTATTCGTAAAAATATAAAGTATTTACAGCAGTCAATGGCTTTCTATGAATGTCGAATTTTGTAAGATATGAACATTTAATGTGGTAATAACTAATAATACGTATTTTAGCATATTATAGGTGAAAGAAATGAAAACTTTAATTTTATGTTTTCATTCTTTTTCTAGAATATGAGTGGTTTTAAAAACTTAAACAAATAAGATTTAATAGTAGGTACCTTGTAAAAAAAAGAATGGCCAATACATGTAAGCTTGTGTATTTTACTATTTTTGTAACTTTGTGTTAATTAAAATATTAGTTTCTTTAAGACTAAACTGTTTACAGTTTGATTTCCTTGAATAAGCTTTATACCACTAACTATTGTATTGGATAAAATATAAAACGTCCTGTAGAGCTTAACACGAAATATATATGTTATAAAAACTTTTTTTACATTATAAGAATATCAATAACAAAA